GCCGCACCGGAAGCGCGGGGACCCTCCCGGAAGCCCTCTCCCTGCGGCCCTCCCCCCCCACGCCACTCCCCACCCATCCATCCGTGCATCCGTCCATTCATCAATCCACCCCTGCATCACCCCTGACCTGTGGGTTGGAACCGGGTTCTCGCCAGCCCAGGGACCCTTGGATGCTCCCAGCTTCCCCAGGCAGGGCAGCTTGGGCATTGAGGGATGTGTAGGAGTTTGCCAGGCATGGGTACTGGGGCAGGAGAAGTGAGGCGCCCCTTCAGCCTTAAAGTTTTAAGGTTCTTTTTTCTGGTGGGGACGGGAGTAGAGTGAGGACCTCCTGCACAGCAGGCCCCCAGCCCCTCCGGGCCGGGTGTGGGCAGGTCCACACGCGCACTCTGCACCTGCGTGTGCCAGTGCAGCTCACGACTCCTTGAGCACTGTGGGGGCCATTTCACACGGGCTGGGGAGACCGGAAGGAGCCGTGGGTCTGGGCAATGTCCCCGCCCCGCCCCGCCCCGGCCTCTGGAAGCAGGTGGGGATGCGGAGACCTGTGCCTGCCCAGGCCGCCTCCCCTTGCTGGGGGAGGGGAGCATCTCCGCAGATGCTGCAGAGCGTCCAGAGTCGGGGATGCAAGTCCCCGCGGTCCTGGCCTGTGCCCCTCCCCGCCCCGGCTCAGGTCACCAGAGCCCAGAGAGGACACGATGGAGCCCAGCCTGCCGCGCTCTGTCTCCGACCTTCTCCCGCTCAGTGCTGGTCTGTGGGCAAGCCCTGCCCTCCACCCCCGTTTTGTCTTCGTTCTTTGTCGATTGTGGGACTTGAACTCAGAGCCCAGGCCCTGTCTTGGACTCTTTTGCTCTAAGGCTAGTGCTCTACCACTTTGAGGCACTTTCCAGTTTTGAGTGGTTAATGGGAGAGGAGTCTCACCGGGACTTATCTGCCTGGGCTGGCTTCGAACTGTGATCCTCAGATGTCAGCCTCCTGAGTAGCTGCATGACAGGCGTGAGCCGCCGGCACTTGGCCCTCCCCTGTTCTTGATATTGGACTGTTTTATCATTGTTGTCCATTATGTGTAGAACTGTGGTTTGAGCCCAGGGCCTCTGGTTTGTTGGATGTTCTACTGTGAACTATACCTCCAACAGTTTTTGTTTTGTTCATTTTTTTTTCCTTCTGGTCATGGGTCTTGAACTCTGGGCTTGAGTGTTGTCCCTGTGGTCTTCAGCTCAAGGCAAGCACTCTACCGCTTGAGCCACAACGCTTCTTCTGGTTCTCTGGTGGGTTTATTGGAGATAAGAGTCTCACAGTTTCCTGCCTGGGCTGGCTTTGAACCGCGATCCTCAGATCTCAGCCTCCTGAATAGCCAGGATGACAGGCGTGAGCCACCAGTGCCAGGCCGTTTTGTTCATTTTTTAAATAGCATTTTGTTTTTTACCCAGGCCAGACTAGACAGTGTGTCCCCCCAAACCTTCTTTCTTTGAGCTGGGATCTTCGGCCGGCCCAGAAATTCAGTGCTCCGAATGTCCATCTGTCAAGTCGCTGACAGCAATGAGCCACCATGTGCATCTTGTTCGTTTTTGACCAGGGAGGATTTCACAAAGGAACGCAGGCTGGCCTCAAAGTCTCCTCCTCCAGCCACAGCTTCCACAGCAGCAAGATCATAGGTGTGCACACTCAACAGCATACAATTCTTGGGACTTGTAATGGTGCTCTGGCAGATAGATTTACCAGCTAGCTCTCTGCGTGCACAGATGCCTGGCGATCTGGCCCGGGTCTTGCCGGGAGGGCAGATCTAATGCCAAGCCTCTTGCCAAATCTATCCCTGAATAAAGTCAACATCCTAGGGCCAGGTGTGTGGCACCCAGCAATGGAAGGCCTTGGGTTCCATCCCCAGCACCAAAATACATACAACATACATACGTACATACATTGTATGCACACATGCCAGCCAGCTCCTGAATGTAACTACCATCCGCCTATTTGTACTATTCTGTGTCCTTCTCGCATCTTTGAAGCAGGCTGAGTAGCTAGCACTACAGATGGAAGCCCCCGGTGCCCGGCCTCGCGTGTTCTTTTGTTTTTTTGTGTTGTTTTAGAGGTTTGAAGAAGACAGTGGAGAGGCCAGATTAGGGTCCCTTGTGGGCTCCAGGGTTCAGATCCGAGCTCCGTCTGGCCTCCGCACACAGGTTGTGCGGCTTTCTTTATTTTGTGTATTTTGGAGAAAGTCTGGTCTGGCCTCCATCTGTGATCCTCCCACTTCAGCCTCCCCCGTGCTGGGATTGCAGCTGTTACTCAATGATTTTGCTGTTCTGTTCTCTTTCAATCCTTGCCAGACGAAGAGGGAGAATAACTGCGGAGCTTTGGCAGTCAGCTCCCTCGCCCTACCCTGTTCTGCCCGGCCCCGGCCCCGGCCCCGCCTCACCCAGGGCCACCCAGGGCCGCCCAGGGGCGGCTGCGGCTCCCCGCGGGTCAGCCTGGGACCTGGAGCCCGGAGCTCCGCCCCTCGCCTCTACCGACCTATCCTGTTCCACCTCTTCCTCTTTTCTCCCATTTTCACCATTCTGGCCAATTAGATTACGCCTTTCCATTATAGGCCAATCCGATGCTTTGGCTTGCTTGCGCCAGCTGCTGGGCGGGGCGGGGCGAGCCGGGGATTCGCCAGGGGCGCTAAGAGGGTTTGCTGCGGGCTCCGTCAGCGCCCCGCGTCCCCGTACCCCGCACCCCGCGTCCAGCGGCCCCGCGGCCA